GCCAGTGGTGATGAGGGGGGGGGGTGGGGAAGGGCGAAGTGGACGGCGCTCAGCGGGTGTGCTTGCAGGTGGCAGCGAAAGCAGGTGGCGAGCGGGTGGCAAGCGGGTGGCGGTCGGTGCGTAGGGCGCTGGAGGTGGTTGGAGGCAGGCAAGCGCAAGCGTGAACAGCAGCGACTGGCGGCGCGGAGCCGAGGGCGCTGTTGTTTGGATCGCAGCTCGCGGCGGCGTGAGCAGCCAGCTCTAACCGTGCAAAGCGGCCAAAGCGGGGGCGAATGCGGCCGCAGCAGCGCCGGCCGCTAGCGAGACAGTAGGGCGGGACCCCACGCCTGTCAGCGTCGCAGCAAGTCCCCGTGCAGCCGTCCCCAGCTTGCAGCCTGGCACACCTATCACAGCGCTCATGCACACACGCCCGAGGCGCTCAGCGGGGCCCAATGCCGCTTTCAGATTTATTCATGCCACGCATCCCCTGGGGAATGAACTCAGATTCCTCATTGCACCCCTCCGTCCCATGGAAAATCAGGTGTTCGACTCGTCCGAGAAGCGGTTTGTCACCCGCACGTGGCGGGACGTGCGCGTCGGTGACGTCATCACGGTGTTCAAGGCGCGTGGGGCCCCGGGACACTGGCAGGCGGCCGCCCCCTGGCAGCACCTGCGGATTCGCTGGGGGGGAGGGGCGGGGATGATGGGCCGGTGCGTCTGGACCGTGCGGCGACGCCTCTGGTTCCTCGGCGCATCTTGAGCGTGGCGTCGCGCCGCAGCTGCCACCGTGCGACGACTTGACACAGCTTGACCCCTGCCTGCGCGCACGCCCAAGGCCCCAGACTGATTTACGTAACCAGCGTAATCCATCTACCAGCAGCCTTGACCTCCCTGTTGCAACACACACACACACACACACACACACACACACACACACACACACACACACACACACTGTCAGACACACTCACACCCACCCACACACACACACACACACACATGTAAACACACATACACACACGTCCATCCCACCCCCCCAGGACGAGTACTTTCCCGCCGACCTACTCTTCCTATCCGCCGAGAACGAGGACGGCCTGTGCTACATTGAGACCATGCAGCTCGATGGCGAGACCAACCTCAAGATCAAGAAGGCCCTGGACGAGACCAAGCACCTCACACGCGACAGCCTGGGGGAATTCGAGGTGGGGGGGGGGTGGCGTCTGTGCGGGCGTGCACAAGTGTATTTATCTTGCGCGCGCACGCGTGTGTGTGTGTATGTATGTGTGTGTGTGTGTGTGCGTGCGCGTGCGTGTGTGCGTGAGCATGCGTGCATGTGTGTGTGAGTGTGGGCGAGAGTGTGCGTGTGTGTTTCAAAGGGGGGTCCAAGGCAACGTTATCTGTTGAAAGGCAGCCATGGAGACAGGATGCTAAAAGTTGAGTGACCAAGTGCAGAGGGCCGCACAGCACGCATGCAGGTGCCTCCGCGTGGTGTGGCGCACACACCTCGCGAGCCTCTCGGCGCCCCCGGCGTAACCGCATCGTCACCCCCTCACCAGACCCCTGGGTTCCCCCGTCCCGCCGCGCGCCGCCCCTGCCAGGCCACCGTGCGCTGCGAGCCGCCCAACAGCCGGCTGTACCACTTCACGGGCAACCTGGAGATGGCCAGCGCCGCCGCCGGGGAGGCGGCCGTGGTGCCCGTGCCGCCGGCGGGCGTGCTGCTGCGCGGCTGCAGCCTGCGCAACACGGCGAAGGTGCACGGCCTCGTGCTCTATGCGGGTGAGCTTGGGCCGGCGGGCTCGTGGGGGGCGCCGCGGTTGTTCGAAAGTTGTTGGGTTTTTTTCGGCGGCAGGGAGGGGGGTGGGTCGGGATGAGGCGCCCAAGGGGGACGGCCGACTCGCGAGGGGCGCGGCAGCGCATTCACTGCAAGCGGTGCCCGCATCGCCGTTTTACGGCTTGCCGCGCTGCGGTGGGCGCCCTCGACACTAGATCACCGCGCAATCCAACGCAACAGACTCAGGGGGGGTCCCCGCCCCCCCCCCCCCACACACACACACACACTTACACACATCCCACCTGGCCTCAGTAAGGGAAGGCAGCAGGGAGGGCTCCCTTCCCTTATCCCTTCCCTCCCCTGCCCTTGGCCATGAGCACCCATGGTCACCAACAT